AAGTCTTAAGAAAAGTGAAGAGACATTCCACGTACCCAGATGGGGAAAGTGAAAAACCCTATGTCGATCCCTCCTGATTAAACGCATTCAGGATAAAAATAATTTAAATTAAAATCCCACTGGTGAATATCCAGTACAAAAGACAGGTCACTTATGGTAAATTCACTTAAAATATGCCCAAAATCTCATAGTAAATAGTGCAGAAATAAGGTTTTTTTTTTTTAACTTTGAGAATGAAACTAATTATTTTATGAATATAAGTTTAACTTACAGACAAAATTTAAGTCACACACCCAACTATATACTACTTCTTAGTAGAAAGAATAATCAAATGCAGTTTACTTTTTTTTCCCTGCAAAAATCATTCAAAAGCAAAATCAGCATTTTCACTTTACATTACAGGTTCTTGTTGTTAGGTGCTGTTGAGTCAGTTCCGACTCAGAGACCCTACGTACAATAGAACGCAACACTATCCAGCCCTACGCCATCCTCACAATCGTTGCTATGTTTTAGCTCACTCTTACAGCCACCGTATCAATCCATTTCAGTGAGGGTCTTCCTCTTTTTCACTGACCCTGTACTTTACCAAGCATGCTGTCCTTCTCCAAGGATTGGTCCCTCCTGATAACATGTCCAAAGTATGTGATATGAAGTCTCACCATTCTTCCTTATAAGGAATATTCTGGCTGGATTCTTCCAGACAGATCTGTTCGCTCTTCTGGTAGTCAACGACACACTCAATATTCTTCTCCAACACAATTCAAAGGCATCAACTTTTCTTCAGTCTTCCTTATTCACTGTCCAGCTTTTGCATGCATATGAGTCAACTGAAAATACCATGGTTTGGGTCAGGCACACCTTAGTTCTGAAAGTGACACACCTTTCCTTTTTAACACTTTAAAGAAGTCTTTTGCAGAAGATTTGCCTAACGTGATGTGTCTTTTGATTTTCTTGACTGTGCTCCCATGAGCATTGATTGTGGATCCAAGTAAAATGACACCCTTGACAACTTCAATCTTTTCTCCGTTTATCATGATGTTGTGCTTACTGATCCAGCTGTGAGGATTTTTGTTTTCTTTGTGTTGAGGTGTAATAAATACTGAAGGCT